GCTTACTGTAAAGAAACCTTTCCGTGTTTGGAGAATAAATTTCTTTTCCTCCAGACGTAAAGAGTTCCCCCTTGTCCTCTGTGTTGACCTCAGGGTGAATAGCTCTACACCGAGTTCACTATATGAACCACTGATGTATTTATACATGTTGATCATATCCCCCCTTAATCTCCTCTTCTCAAGAGAGAATAAATTCAGTTCCTCTAATCTTTCCTCATAGCTGAGCTCCTCCATGCCCCGTATCAGTTTGGTTGCTCTTCTCTGTACAGTGCAGTGCCACATTTCCATGTTATTTATCTTGTCCAATATGAAAACACGACAACATGACATCCATTACCGGTACTGACTGCACCCCTAATACATGGAATCTGTACTGAAACAGTTTAGTTTCTAAAAAAGAAGACCATTTTCAATCCTTTATAAATAGACCCCATTTTAAGCCTAACTCCAGGATCACTTTTTAGGTTAGGGTGAGGAAGAGTTACATTTTCTGTCAGATTTTTAATTTGGTATGTGACCCAATTGGGGAGATTTTCCTTCATTCCTGCCCCCGTGACATCCATGTTGGAAATGATGGGTGCAAATTTTAACCAAGATATGAAAGCTAAGACAGAAATAAAGCCATGCTAATGGGAAATGGAGGAAATCTCCCCAACAGAGATACAAATGGCTAAAAACCCTGACACTGGCTCTAACGCTTCCCTGAAATAAAACATTTGGGTTGGAGTTGCACTTTAAAAGTTGATTCTTGTTCAAGTTCCAAAACACTACCAGAGATCTAAAGAGAGATGAGACTAAATTGTGTACAACATAACATCATGCTGCCCTCTCCTTCTTGCCAGAAAATGTCATCTATAGGTTGTTAAGGCATAAAGTCTGTTGGCTTAAAATAAATCAATTTTGTGACTCGTTCAGTTATAAGGAATACGACCAAAATAGTCGAGGAGGCAACTGCAATGTATCCTATTATCAGTGGCAGACACCTCAAAAACATATTGGGCTATCATTTTATAGTGTTTTTATGGCTGTGAACAGTAGTTATGTTAGCTTATTAATTGCCCTGGCCCCAATTCAAAAACCTAAAACCCAAATGGCCTTAGTTAAAGGATCTACCAGTAAATTTAGTGAATATAACACATATCTAAATGTTTCAGGAACTTATCAAATATGTATATGCCAGAGATATTTCACATTTCAGTAACAAATTGTGCCTCTAAAAGAGATTGCTTGCTCAAGCAAAATGTCAGAGGAATTTTAGGACATACTGAAATGAAATAAAATCTGTTTTGTTTTGGTTCTTATTGAGTTAAAGCCTATCTAGACAAAATTGAATGTTATTTACTTTATTTTTTTTCAGACAGATATATTTTAACTAAATCATTTCAACTGTATTATTAACCCCTTCACGCCTAAGGGTAAAACAAATCGAAATGCCCAATTCTGCAACATTGACATGTGTTAGTAAAACCGTACATATCATCACAACTACTTTGTATATCCAGGTGGATTATACCTTGTTTTTTTCAGGACAAATTGGGCTTTCATTTGGTGGTAAATGGTAATGGATAGCTCCTAATTTTTTTTTATTATCAAAGGAAAACTGGCCCAAAATAGTTAAAAAAAAATCATTTTTTTTTATTTAGCTGTGTGTTTCTTGTTACGACCATAACCTACCTCCATAGAACAACCCAAAATACATTTCCCAGCTCTTGACGATTGCAGCGATACCATATATGTGTATGCTATTTGTTGTTTGTACCCGTAGTACAGCCCAGAAACAATAGTGTGCATTTTGTTTTTGTCTTTTTTTTTTTTTTTACCTAAAACACACTGACACCAATTTTTTTTTAATCCTGACCTTTGACCCTAACCTTTGACCTTGACCTTTGACCATGATCTTGACCCAAACACTAACCCTGGTACTGAACTAGATCAAACCTTGATCTAGCTATTTTTCTTTATTTTTTCTTTTCTTTTTTAATATTTATTTATTTATCTTCTTTTTCTTTTTTTTTCAAACTTTTTTTTAATCTCTCTTTTATACAATGTATCTCTCTTCTCCATTCATAGAGAGAGAAAAAACAAGGGGGCCGGGCTGCACAGTGACTGATCACTGTGATAGCCAATCAGAGGCTATCACAGCGATCACGTGACCCGGAATCGGGAGTCCCGGGTCCCGATCGTTAGAACAAGACTGGGGCTCTAAGTGACACCCGCGGTCTCTGTGCTGGGAGCGCGCCAAGCACAAAGACAGGTACGAAAAAAGCCCAGTTCCGTGAGTTCCAGAGCAAATAAGAGAAATTAATTATTAGCGTTTACATATACTTTTAGCAGGATAGGCTCCGTGCACACTTCCGCGGCTTGGGATCCGACTTGAGAGACCCCAAGTCACATGACATTTGAAATCCCATATTAGTCAATGAGAGCCATCTTAATTAGCACTACTGAAGTCGCTCTGAATTTAGAAAAGGTTCCTGTACTACTTCAAGTCGACTTCTATCCGATTTGCGCCCATAGACTTTAATAGAAGTCGCCTTCAAGTTGGATCCTCATCTATATTGATGTGATTTGGATCTGACATTACAGGAATATTACCCAGGCATTCCCTGAAAGTTGCTTCAGAGTTGCTTCAAAGTAGTACTCAAGTCCCCTGTCAAAGTCGCACTGCAAGTCATGCGACTTTCAGGTAGCAGTAATGTGAACCGAGATTGAGTCTGGGTTCACAGTGATGCGGTAAGGAATTCACAGTGTTTTCTGTGCGAATTCCACACCGCATCAGAATCGCACCCCGTTCACATGAACTGTTGCGGGTGTGTATGTTAAGTTAACAACACCCCAAGATCGGCCGCAAAATGCGGTGCGATGTGCAGAATCAGATTGTATAGGTGTGAATACACATGCGATCCGATTCTAGTGCAGACCATAAAAAGGGTCCTGCACCTTTTTGGTGCGGATGCGGTGCGATTTTAGCCATACAAAATGTATGGCTCCAATCGCACCGCACACAATTTGCATGTGATTTGCACAGGAATGCGGTTCGGTTCCTGTGCGAATCACATGTGATATACCGCACCGCATTAGTGTGAACCTGAGCTAAGGCTTCACACTTTTTTTTAAGCTTCTAGAAGCTATTATGAGCATTTTTTTTCTGCTCCTAGAAGCTAATAATGTTGTCCTATGTGCCCATGCACACTATTTGATGCTAGAAGTATTTTTCAAGCTTCATCATTTAGGAACAGAAAAAAAAATGTTTTTGTAGAGTTTTTGGGAGTGTTTTTCCCACCAAAAAAAAAAACAAAACACTGAATGCTCCTAAATGCTTCTAAACGCAACTACAAGCTGGCACAAACATGCTGTTGTCTGCGTTTTTCATCCAGCATTTTTTACTAGTGTTTTTAAGCTGAAAAAAGCTCTAGTGTGCATGGAGCCTAAAGCAACTTTTTTTTGGTTCCTCCCCCCTTTTACAGAAATGTAAAAAAAAAATTGTTACTTCTCATTTAAAGTGATTCTAAAGGCTTATTATTTTTTTTTCTTCAAATAAACATGTCTATACTTACCTGGGGTGTGCAGTGGTTTTGCACAGAGCAGCCCAAATCCTCCTCTTCTCGGGTCCCCTACCGGCGCTCCTGGCCCCTCCCTCCTGTCAGGTGTCCCACAGCTAGTAGATTGCTATGGGGGCACCTACTGCTCCGTGTATCCATTCACACACGGAGCCACGGCTCAGCCCCCCCTCTCTTTTCATTGGCTCACTGGCTGTGATTGAGGAGAGGGAGTCCCAGAATAGCCGAGACTCCAGTGCACATCGCTGGACTGAGAGAGGGTTTAGGTGAGTGGGGGAAATGCACATGTACAGCAGATTTCTGGGCCTACACACAAACCCTGTGGACAGTTAGGCCAGTTGCACACAAATGTAGGAATGTGCTGATGTTTATACTCAGGATCTTGTTAAATAAAATGTTCTCTAAAGACCTTGGGTAAGTGCGTATAAAAGGAGCATAAAGGCGAGTAAGCGTATGCAAGTATAAAATTCCTCTTCATTGCCAGTATTGCAATATATGCATATATACATGTGTATGGGAAGGTAAACACGCGTACGCACATCAATTACTGCACTTCAATGTAACATTTTCTATCATTGTTTTTTATGGCCCTGTACTCATCGCTCTGTTACTCCTCTTTACACAGCTCTGTGTGTGTGGTTCCATAGACAACAACACATTCATATCCAGATCAGTAAAAACTGTGGCCTTGTTTACTCCCGTGTGCAAGAAGCCGCATAGTTGCAAGCTGAAAGAAATGGGGGTGTTTGTGTGTATGCGCTGTTGCATCGCCAGCCTATTCCAGATCCCAAATAAATAGCATAGATTGGCAGCATATCTGTACATGTACCGGGTTTAATGCAAGAAGTGTTTTTCAAGCTTCATCATTTAGGAACAGAAAAAAAAAATGTTTTTGTAGAGTTTTTGGGAGTGTTTTCCCACCATGCAGACGTGTAAAGTTACTGATAGGTCCGAAAAAAATTAAAACCTTTGTTATACTCGGTGCTATAGTAATGAGAGCATCCTTAGTGTCATTCACGACTATGCCGATCGATGCAGCTCAATGGATATGGTGAGACTGAGCCCTGAGAATTCAATAAAAAATTTGAAGCTGGTGAGCAAAAAAAAAAAAATTGCTTGCAGTAATGGTCATAAACAATTGAGTACTGTCCGTGATACCTTTTTTTTATTTTTTTTTATTTGCACTAACATACAATTTTGAGGACACGCTTTCGGGGTATGTCCCCTTCTTCAAGGTCCAAGCAGTACTATTACAGAGTTTTAGCAGAATGTTAGAAGAGATGTGGGGGATGAGAAAAAAAAGAAAAAAAAAAAGCAGAAAGAAACACAAGCCTAGGGTTAGCCTAGAGCAGGGGCGGACAGACCATTTGGAAACTCTGGCACTGCCCGAGGGCCCGGGGTCAGTAGGGGGCCCCATGAGATGCCCCTGGTACCTTTTTCATAGGCTTTTCTGAGTTTGGGCAAGGACACAGGGGCCCTATGATCCCCTATTGCCCGGGGGCCCCATGAGTTTTCAGTCCGCCCCTGGCCTAGAGATAAGACACAGCAAAGCAAAAGCAAAGACTGGGGGGCTACAATCACCTCAAGCAGTAATGGTCATGCATGCTTAATGGCTATTGGATTACAAATTCACTGTAGCCAGGATGTGCGAAGCATCAGGTTGAGTCTTTTCAAGATGCAAACATTTTGAATGACTGTGCAGCAGCAGTTTTCTAAGGCCCTATTCACACTTCATGTAGCAGGAATGTGCATTCCCACTCATGGGGGTTTTTTTTTGCACTTTTTTTATGCAGGACAAACTCGCCAAAAGAAGCTCATGTAACAAATTTTGGCACTGATCCAGGAGCATTTGGCAACGCATGCTCTGTCACGTAACAAGCACGCCAAACTCGCACCATGTTTGGAGTGCCATCAAGAAATAATATATTATTTAGGGTGCCAAATAATGCTTTGCATCATAAATGCTTTGACGCGTTTCTGAACACATGGGCAGAAACACGCAATTCTGCCCACGCTTTCATACTGTAATACTAGATCATTGCTGCTTCTTTTTTTAAAAGCTGTTAATGTTATAGATGCAAATAAAATAAAAAGGTTTGTGTTGCATAACCAGCTTTTACAATGTTTCTGCAGCTGGTAAAAACTGTGTTACCCTTTTAACTTTTATTATGGAGCTGATTTGCATGATTTCAGAATCGCAGACATATCAGAGAACAGTGCGGCAACGATGTCCATGTATTTTAGAATTCAGTCAGCAAGATATATTCTGTATGTGTTGTCTGTGGAAAATTGAGCAAGTACCTGTTCACACTGGAATCACGCATGTTTAAACGCACATGTTCTGATGCAATTCAGGAACATTCTGTGTGGTGCGTTTTAATGCGTTTTCATTTGAATGGGCTGCAAAATGCACCAAACCACTCAAAAGGTAATGCTTACACTACTTTTAAAAATGCACTGCACCAAACTGCACGGTACTGCATTTGTGATCTGCGTTTTTAGTGCCGTTAACAATACATCAATACCCACATGCAGATTGCAAGGGCAGTACGTCTGAACGCAGTGCATGAAATGTGCACAGAATGCACCTTCCCCACACCGCATTCTGGAGTGAAGTGACCGTATGGGCATTTTCAAGCTGGCAGCTTGGAGGCTGTAAAAACAGGCAGCTGAGCAATGGTTTTATTGTCTTGCCCCTGGCTATGATAGCACTGCCATGATACTTTGCTTCATTGCTGTGATCATTTTAACTCTGCCTGCAGAGTTTGACAGGTGGCTTTGCCTGTCAAACTCACACATTGAGAGCTATAGGGCTGGACCGCAACTGCAAGACAGAAAAAAAGATCTACCTGTTAGGCTCCATTCACATCTGCGTGCTGCAGGAACATGTGCAAAATGATGTGTCGTTATTGTAGGTGTGCTGCAATGTCATTCCTTCTTAAATTGTTCCTAAACCCAGAACAGTAAAATCAGTCTGTATATACAGTAAAGCATGCTTTTTATACTCACCGTGGAACCTAAGGGGTTAATCCTTTGCATTGTGTAAAAAGGCTGTTTGATCCTGTCTTCTCTGATCCTCCCCTTCTTCCACAGTCCCCAATCCATCTGTTGATAAAACAGTGCCTTGGGGGCAAGCTGCACATGCTCAGTTTGGTGTGTATTACTAGAGAATTTTTTTTTTCAGTGGGAGGGTGGGCAAACAGCGCTGTTCAGAAAGAAGGTCAGGGGTCTGCAGCCTAATAGAAGGAGGATTACAATTCCTCCTACAAGCTTTAACCAGTGCTCTGCTGGACACTGATAGAAGTCACAAGATTGCTGTGTACTGCTGATGAGAAAAGGTATTTAGCAGTTTATATTACTATAATAATTGCACTTCTATGTTGTGTGTAGTATGGGAGACCAGATATAGTGAATGCAGGGTCCTGGGTTTAGTAACACTTTAATGGTTCTCCAGTGCATTTTGCTTTACCTTGTATTGAAGCACAACATGCATAATAGCTTATTACCATACATTGTCATCCACTGCATTTCTTAAAAAAAGCTACATGTATATCTTTGTTGCAAATTTATTGGCGTTGGGCAGTCCATTCAAGTCAATAGACTTCCCTGTAACAATGCATGGTTATACATGCAAAATCAGACATCAGAGCGTGTGCATTGTCGCATCACAAAGATGTGAACCTAGCCTAAAAAAACATTCCTATGTTCATTTCCAAGCCCTGTAATGCCCCCAATGTCGTTTGTGTCCAATCAAGCAGGCTCTTCTACTGCAAAGCTGTTGATAGACCTAAGGCACCTTTTACACAGACCATGTCTGGTTTGATCAACCTGAGATCCATGAAGAAATTCCCCGCTGAATCAAAGGAGAACAGAACCCATGCCATTTTCGGGACATCTGTGTCCATTCAGTTTTTTTTCTGCAGGAGCTTTCCAGACCCAGATTAGATCTATGGACAGCCACATGTAAACAGGCCTGAGCCCGTTTACATCAGACTGCCTCCGATCCATCATGTTTAGGTCGTAAAAATAGAAAAGGATGCAGACCACTTATTTTTTTTTTCTGGACCTGAACAGACTTGAAGGTAATGAGAGTTAAACAGACGCACATTTTTTTTATCATAGACTAATAGTGATCATACACCTTACAGTCTGCAAATCTGTGTACAATCAACCGTAGATCTATCACATCCATACTCTTGCATTCCACACTTATTGATAGCTCTAAAGAAGGTTGTACAATCAGAGTCTTCCCGCAGCGTCTTCCCCCATAGAAATACAGAGGACTCTCCTCCATGCTGCAGTAGTGGACTGGTCTTCAGTGTCATCACACCCAATGCAGGACTATGGACTCGGTATATTAATAAAAGGACCATAGACCGTTGGGGTACAGGGGAGAAGAGTTTGGCAAGACTGATCTAGCAGCACAGAGGTGCCTGCTGAAGTGGAGAATCAGTTTGCTACTCAGAATATCTATAACTTGGAGAAGTATTTGTGATTATACCGGGAGCAATCTACATTGAAGATCTGTTGCTGTATCAGTTGGTTATATTATACTGCTTACGTTGATCATTCCTTTGGGTGGTCAAACCTTCTGGTAAGAGGTCAGGCCAATTCTTTTGGGTGGAAGGTGATGGTCTTCTTTCTGAATCGGGCTCTACCTGCATATGTGAATCCTATATGGACTTTGCTACCACCTATGTGCATTTATTATTAACATTTTGGTGCTGCAATTGTTTGATTATTGTACAATCAGTTTGTATTCTGTGTGGTGAGTTTTACATGAAGCTCCCAATCTCATCCACCTGAAAAACTGACGGACTAACCTGATCAGACCACCATTGTTAAAAGGTCTATAGGAGGTTGTACAGTCAGATTGTAATGTCTGTGGTGAGCTTTAGAGAGAGCAGAATGATAGTACTGATTAGTGGACACATTTTAGGTCCCGGTCACATATAAGAGAGAAGAAATTGGGGGCAGAATTCTGCCCATGATTCCAAATTGCAGCAAAATGTGCAATGCATGAATGGCACCCCAAATACGACGCAATTTTGCCACAATTGTCACATGACAAAGCGTGCGAGAATGGCAAAATACATGTGTAAAACCGCATTTGGTCCCTGAGCATAAAGGACCAAAATGGTCCGAATGGACTGCCTAGTACACAGTATGCATTTTTTGCATTTGAACAGCATTTTTTAAATCACTAGAGCCCGTGTTCCTGATAAACGATTTGTGAGCCTGCGTTCCCTCCACTCATCCCTAATGACCAGTTGCTGGACTTTATAGAGCCCTGTTTCATGCATTATTCCTATGTAAAGTCTATGAGGGTTTTGCACACCAACACGTTCTGAAAACCTTCCTACTTTCTGACCCGTTAGCAGCTGTGATGTCACTTGGCCTGCCTGCATGTTTTTTCCTTGTGTGCACTTGGATAGACGTGTGGAAGACAAAGTGTGTTACCGCCCTAGGACAAATTCCTAAAAATGAAGTATTTTAATGGCAGAATGACAGACCAAGAAGATTTATAGGAAAATAATGAAAAAAAAGCCTGCAGACTAGAATTTGGGAAGAGATCTGAACATCTTTGACCCCCTTTGCCTCCCATTTCAATGTAATATCTGTCATTTACGTTGGTCATCTGGCATATTAAATATACTGATCTGGAGCTGTGCAGCACTGCATAAAATAACAGCGAGAGATCTTATAATAAGAATTATGTGACAGCGATAAAGGACAGCCGTGTGCACAGTTTTTTCTCTGGAAGTGTGATATTTCATAGATATGTCATAGATGTGTCAGCCCTGCCTAATTTGTACAAAGGTATCCTATTATCAAACCCTCTGCAGGTACAGATTACGGTTTCAGATCAGATTTAGGTCTCTGCTTCGCTCTTTGGTCTGTATCTGGGATGAAATGATACAAAACTCAATATCCATGCTCAGTGCAGTATAGACAGAAGGATAACACTTGATGCTAAATGTAATACTACAAATACTATAGATGGATAGCTAAAAATCCACAAATTGTATTTGTTTAATCTATAATTCTGATAAAAGCACAGGAGCCCTAACATTACTCACATCCATTCTCAATCAAGCCGCATGGACACCCCAGCTGAACAGGAACGCTTTGCATTTAAATGGGCTCGGGGACATTGTGTACCTGTTACATGGCTATCATTTTTGTCTTGGCATTTATCTTCTGCACCTGGTTGTGCTGCAAGTGAAATCCCTGTAGTTGTTAATATCATTAAAGTAAACCGGTCATCACCATAAAATAATTAAACTAACCGCAGGAATGCATAGCAGACATTTAGGCTACGTTTACACTAGCCTGCATGGTAAAATGCAGCGCAACACCCTGCAGACTAGCGCAGCACTGGCTCAATGTACATTTCAGCGCATGTCATGTGCATTTCACCGCATCACACTGCATGTGTTTTTTTTTTATCCAACTTTATTTCACATGTCATTCGTGACACTTCGGGGTTTATTTACTAAAGCTGAAGAGTGCAAAATCAGGTGCACTTCTGCATAGAAACCAATCGGCTTCCAGGTTTTATTGCCAAAGCTTAATTCAACAAGCTGAGGTTAGAAGCTGATTGGTTATCATACACAGGTGCACCAGATTCTGAGTCAACCAACGTTAGTAAATCTCCCCCTTCATGTCACAGCACAACCGCTGCCTATGAGGGGCCTTTCAGTGCAGTGCAGAAAAAAATGCAGGCATTCTGCATTTGTCTACACCGCACTGCATATCATACCAGCATTGCAATGTGAATGGGGCATATAGGAAACCATTGTCTTCTATGTGCCTTAGTGGTGACCTGTGTTTATCCAGTGAGGGAAAATGCAGGACACCACTGATAGTGTGAACAAGCCCTTACAGATACCTGTGCAATAGGTGCAGGAACTTCCCCTTTCTGAGTCACTTCTTGTCCACACCCCCCCCATCCACCTCTGAGCACCGTTCTTTGGTTCCACCCCCTACCCACCTCCCAGTACTGCTCCTTTTAGAGAAGACAGAGCCAAGTATCATTTTGTGGTGCTATGCAATTTGTATAGAATGTGTTCATGATAACAAGAGAAGCAGTAAAATATATCCCTTGCTGCCAGCAGCATTAGACCCCCCTCCAGCAACAATATATTTTCCTCAACAATAATGGACCGTCGTAGTAAAATATCACACCAGCAACAATATACCCCAGCAGCAACAACAGATCTCCCAGCAGCCAGCATCAATAGACTCTCCAGCAGCCAGCATCAATAAACTCTCCAGCAGCCAGCATCAATAGACTCTCCAGCAGCCAGCATCAATAGACTCTCCAGCAGCCAGCATCAATAGACTCTCCATCCATCAGTCTCAGCCAGCATCATAGACATCATAGACTCTCCAGCAGCCAGCATCAATAGACTTCTCAGCAGCAGCCAGCAGCCAGCATCAATAGACTCCTCATTCCTCATTCAACAGTAAATCCCTTCCAGCAACAACTGACAACCTAACAATATAGTTTCCCACCAGCAACAATAGAGCTCTCCAACAACAATAGACCCCCCATGCAAAAATAGTTCCCCTCTAGCGACACCCAGCAGCCAGCATCAATAGAACTTCCAGCACATCCCAGCACTCCTTGCCATTACATACATTCAGTGTTGAAGGTGCCAGAACTGTGTCCCCCCACGTTCCAGTTGAAGAAAAGCCCTGCCTGTGCATATCCTTAAATACCTGCTTTCAGCCCAAAAACCCATGGCACTGTACAGAGCCATGCTTTGGGCTGGATGTCACCAGAGCCACCTACTTTTGCCACCACCCCATGGTAAAAATGATCACCTCCAGCCACAGTGGCATGCACACACAATCAGCTCAGCATCATGGAGCAAATTAAAAGTGCAGGCTCAGTGTCACTAAGTAAATGTGATTCAGATTCAGTACAAGACTTTTTTAGACATGCAGTTGTGCTTGCCTCCCCATTGTTATCCTTGGTGTATATCTTCTCAGATGTATTTGACAGGCAGCTTGGAGGTGATATGTCACCTCATCACTGATTGTTTTAACCACTGAAAGTCCACAATAACACGCTACAACTGCACACTTTACACACTGTCGCAGAACAGTTCCAGTGTTGTTCTGTGGCCTTGAATAGGGCATATTTGCAGCAATTTCACCTGCAAACACAGCAGGTAGTATGATCTTG